TTACAGATGGATATAGACTGTTTGGTGATTAATGCCATTAGTTGTACATCATAAGTGCTCATTATTTCAATGTATGTAATCTCAATGGGTATTTTTAGAGGAATAATATTAGGGATTATGAAAAAAATATTATGAAATGTTTTATGAAGAGTTTTCATCTTTTGATTAGTATGTAGTGTTTTTTTGTATGTGTAATATAACGGTAGAGATGCTTTCATGATCATTTTCATGATTTTTTTTCATGATACCTAGCATTACTTTTTTTCAAGTATTTGTTAATAATAAACTTGAAAGAGTCTGGTTAACAAATGCGATTAAGGTGTAATAAAAAAAATATCTATTTTTTTAAAACTTATTACAATACACTTTTCACTAAATCCATAACCCTTTCAAGCATTTTCATTTATTTTTAAAGCATTTTTTTTTACATCAATCCTAATACTTAATAATGCCATATGTACACTTGTTAGCAAATACCATTGTTGTATATATATATATATATATTTTTATAAGAGTGTGCGTCCATCAATGCCTTTAAGATACTCGTTAAAAAATAAAAAAATAAAAAAAATAAAACAAACAGGTTCAAACTTTGTCAAATATTTATTTATTTATTTACACATAAAGTGGTGTTCCAAAGTAAATTATGTCACACATGTTGGGGGTACTCCTCTTTTTAATTTGGCTAAATTACACTCACCTCTGTTAAAATTTTTAAAAAAGTACAACATCACAAGTTTGGCATAATTATAGTGGTCTTACTTAATATTTTAATTCATATAACAGTTGGCATCGTTTTGTAAAAAATTTGTTGTTGTATGATTAAAAAATGATATTATTATTTCTTTTACATTAAAATGTACATTTTATCTTGCATATTATTGTGTTTTCATGCCATCTAAATTAGTTTTGAATTTGGAACGTCAACAAAATTCAATAGTAAAATAAATATAATTTTTAAGAAATATTTTAATTTAAACCCTAAAAAAGTATATATATTTTTATTTTTATCTTTTATATTTTTATCTATTTTATTTTATAATTAAAATAATATAAAATTATAATTAATATTTTGGGTATTCATTCATTTTAAATCATAAAACTCACAAAATAGATTCTGACCACTGACAATCCACTTAAGGGAAGAGGTCTCTAACAGGATTTTACTTCTTTTCCTTTGCTCATTTTATTGATCATGATCATGAACTCTATTATTGGCGTTTTGATTTACTTAAAACTTTCTTTCCTACTAATCCAAACAAGCTCTTGGATAATCCTCCCAGTTATCACTTGAAATATAAATAAAACTTTGGACGGTGGTGCCGGAATTAGCATTTCGACGAACAAGTTAGTCTCTGTAGGAAGGTGAGTGTTTTTTTATTTTTTGAGGTTATCACTGCTGGAAAATCCACTTTTAGCAGCGTTTAAAAAACGCCGCTAAAAGCACTAAAAACGTCGCTATTTCTTTTTGTGATATTTAGTACCAAACGCTGACGACGCGGCCGTTGCTATAATTTTATGGCGTTTGAAAAATGTCGTTATACTAGTATAGGCGGTGTTTTTAAAAATGCCGCCAAATGTCCTACCCTAGTTGTACTATGACGTCACTATGACATTTAGCGACGTTTTTGAAAACGCCGTCATAGACATTCATACATTTTAAAAATCTGGGATATAGTCACGTTTTTTAAACGCCACCATAGCCTTTTTTTAAATTTTTAAATTGTGCTAATTTTATATGGTTGAACAAAAAAAATACCTGTCAAACAATTATCAAGAACTAATAATTGATGTTTATTAAAATAATAAATAAACTAAGCTTGAAAACAAAATTAGAAATAAGAAACAATGCATTGCATACCTAAGAATAGAAAGTCACGTTTTTTAAACGCCGCCATAGCCTTTTTTTTAATTTTTAAATTGTGCTAATTTTATATGGTTGAATAAAAAAAATACCTGTCAAACAATTATCAAGAACTAATAATTGATGTTTATTAAAATAATAAATAAACTAAGCTTGAAAAATACCTGCCAAACAATTATCAAGAACTAATAATTGATGTTTATTAAAATAATAAATAAACTAAGCTTGAAAACAAAATTAGAAATAAGAAACAATGCATTGCATACCTAAGAATAGAAACAATTCAGATTTTAAATACATCAATTAAAATCAAAATGGTCAAGAAGCGTAATTTGCCCAAAAAAATTAAAAAGGAATAGAAAGCACACTAATATGGCTTATAATATTAAAAATACCACTTGTCTTCCAACTATATCCAAAGATGAGCCTAAACTATATGCAACAAATGATACATTTGGAACCATACAGTACGCTATAATCCAATTAAACAGGATAAAAAGAATTAGAGGGGGGAAAAAATAAAAGAACAAGAACAAATAAAAAAAACTTCATCATATTCCCTCCAATGGCTTTTTCCCTCTGCTCTCACATAAATTCTACATGTAGCAACTTCATATCTATTATGATGATCATTCAGAGTTAAATAGCTTCTCACAATCAAATAGAGTTAGGTTTCAAATTAATTTTTATAACATAGAAGAAGCCCTCTGCGAGGAGTTTGCAGCTTATTTCTATGTTCCACCATAAAATTGATTGAAAGTTGGGGAGATTTTTCCTGGACACTCAAGTCTCTACGAGTTATTATGACCTAATGTGACAACAATCATAATACTCACAAATTACGACCTCAAGAATTAGTGATTAGAATAACAATATCATGCGTCGAGCCTGCTACATCACATCGATAAACAAATGTTACTTCAGTGGATTTTTTCAGAATTCAGGCAGCAATACTTATATCACATATCAATAAAAATAGCAACGTAGGTGTCATTTCAGAATGCAGCATAACATAAAAGGAAAGTACTTTCCCCTCTCTCTGTAGACAGTGAGGCCAAATGAAGCCCAAGCTTACTCATATAAATTCCAAGGCACAAACAGAAAAATATGCACAAAATCTAGTCATTGGGCCCTAGCAGTGTTGAATGGGATACAAAGCACAAAATACAAAGAACACACATCACACCTTGACTTGCAAGTAAAATTTATTAAGATTCCTCACTATTTTCAATTTTCAAGAGCTAATGTCCATTACATTGACATTGGCACTATAAAACAGTTGATTCATTATCGTTGCCCCAATTTTAGGGCTGATAATGAAGCTAAAACCCTAACCTAAAGTAGCCACAATCAAACTTTTGCATAGAGAAATATTTCACAAACCATACAACATAATTGAATTTCCTATTTCTAAATTCAGTGGTCCTAAGATCTAATGGGTAGTGAATAAAAAAATACATACGAAAAATTATATAGAATAACGTGTTGAGTTGTGAGCCTATCACTTTAAAATCAAAAATCCGTCAAGGTGACTTTTACTTATAAAAATGTCATTGTCATGTCATTTTGGTTGATTTCTGTAAAAATAATTTTACCAAAAAATAGTAGTTTAATTTGTAACTGATCCTGATAGTGAAATCTAACCAGAAGACAATGTTGAAGAAACATTAGCAAACAGTTAGATTCATGAGAGAGAGAGAGAGAGCGGGGTATATTCACATTAATGAAAAATGGTTAGAAAAAAGAAAATAAATGACATACTGTTAATTGTTGGAGAGTGACCGGGTAATCTGAAAGGTATTTAACGGCAAGAGTGATGATGAATCCTCGCCCAGTATCATTAAATCTATCATATTATCTGAAATTAGATCGTCATTTAGCTCTTCACTTGCATCATTTAGCAAAACATCAGCTATATCTTTTGCAACTTCTGATCTGCCTCTGTTCTTCGTTTTCGCTTCGATGATTTTATGTACTAATTCAACCATTTTCTTCTTTGCCTGAAACAACCAATCTTCAAATTTATTATTAATTTCTCATAATAGTGTAAAATAAGAAAAATAAAGAAATTAATTTCTCATAATGAGTGATAAAGGACCAAAAACAGAAACATAAAAAACACTTACTTTTCCTGTTCAATTCTAGAATCAAGAGGTGCTCAATGAGAAATGCATTGGATAATCTGAAATAACATATGGATGGGTCATATTTACTCTTCAACTATGAATCTCAACTTGCAAAGACATATGATGACACTAACAGAAGCAATATATCCATAAAAATGCCTCTTTAGGCATTCGGTGCCAAGTATCCAAGGATATAATCAATGGTAACAATACAATACAACATTGCCAACAAGACTTCAACCTTATCCTCATTTCCCTTATAATGGTGTTAGGTGTCCAATGATATAATCAATGGTGAAAATACAATACAATACAACACAACAAAACTTAACCCTTATCCTCAGTTTCTTTATAATTGAGCACAACAAAAAAAACAATTGAACCACAAAAAGCCACTGGCCACACTTCAATTAGGAGTTGGAATGTTTGTCCCAAATGCTGCATCAGTGGACGCATGAAGGGAAGTCAAATCTTAATGACCTACTGGATTCTGCTACAGGCCACTAACAATATATTTTAATGCATCGAGAGCTAATAATAATCAAACTCAAAAGATAGTAACCATAATTCCCCCTTTTTCGGTGCTCTGGATCATACTTGAATCTTGCACCTTCTTCTAGTGGGGAAAAAATCAGGTTTGCGCCACGGTTTGTTTCTATACTTTTACAGAATAACATTGGCATCCCACATATCATATCCATTCCTTTTTGTCTCTTTTTCAAGAGACTATCCACATAAATGCCTCACCAAGAAAAACAACAAATTACCTCCTCTGGTGGAGGAGAATAAAGAGGACTCCACTAGATTCAAACACCTAGACACAACATCCTCTAAAGCAAAATTGATGACTGCATTTACCAAAGTACCATTCTAGAGAAGGGCTTTGGAGGTCCTTGTATCTCTTATAATTGGTTTCAAAATAATGCAGTAAAAGTAGTTTCAAAGGTTTCTGTATTTGGCAGTGCCAATATGGGTTAATGAAAATTAAGAAAGAACTTTTTTGCATTCTCTGAAAATATGTCTTTGGCTACTTCAATGGCTTCAGGAATGGAAAGATCACCATCAATACATGCATCACGTAGAACAGAGAAGACAACTTCACGTGCTCTCTTTGCACCTGTAAAAAAAATAAACTAGAAAATAAGACCAAGAAACAAGAGAAATAGGCTCTATTTTGTATTCATAATAATTTCAATCTGCAATCAAAACTGGCTCCTCCAAGATTTTCAAGATATTATCACAAAATAAAGTATAAAATTGATAGATAACTAATTAAACCAACCTAAGTAAAAAGTCTCTGGAAATGCAGAACCATCAGTGTTGAACATCACCTGGAAATTGAATTATAGTGAAAATGAAAATTGGTATGAAATTAATAAACAGAGGACAAATCAGGCCAATCCCAGGGGTGTGCACGTGCGCGCGCACACACACACACACACACAAAAGCACAGTTCATTTATAGGACATTGTGACACAATCTAAAAGCCCGAATTGTCAAATAAAGATCACATAAATGGATGCCCACCAAAAATAAATAACTTTGAATTTTTATTTAATATGGGAGTGAGTCAGAAGCAGAGGGATTCTTATAAAGAGTTATCTAGTTAGTTATTTTTAGGTTCTTGAAAAAGCCTTGACTCTTATAGAATTTAAACAGGAATAGCTAAATGATGAATAAAAATTGGAAGGAAATTCAAAAGAGCCTTGAGTATTGTAGCACGTCCACCTACAGTTCGCATTCTGCTATTATTATCCTCTACCTTCCGTCCACCTTATGATTTTAAACAAATTAATCTAAGTTCAATACAAAAGGGTAAAAATGTTTAATTATGACCTCTAAACTTGAGAAATTTATCGTGCTAGATTTTGCCAGTTTTTTAATTTTCTTTATCTTTTTATGAGATTTCTTTACTAAATAAGCAGTCATTTCTTCCAATATTTCATCAAGTGCATGTGTTCTGTTCTCACCTTCTTTATTGGAGCTAACTCTAGAAGTTCTTTGACAGATGATATCATCCCATGAACACTAAGCTTTGGAACAGCCAACCTAAAATCAAGGTAAACCTAAAGATTGAATGCATTGCTTTGTTAGAGAACTAGCAAGTTTAACATCAAAGATAGACATCCCAACGTATTGTTCATTGTAATCTTCAATATCTTACCTGAGAATAAACGGAGGCTAGATATGATGCTTCCTTTGAAAATGGGTAGGATGCATGTAAAAGTAGTAAGCGGCACTTAGAGAATCTCGTCCTCAAGAAGGGTGCGGAGATGCAAGGGATTGGAGAGTCTTAAATCCAAATCTTTATCTCCAAAACTGATGCGAGGAAAGAATGAACAAAAAAATGTAGTCAATAAAGAGTCAAAGTCAAACAAGCACTACAAAAAGAGAAAACAGATTTGCCTTAATTCTTTGTTTGATCTATCACAATAGGACATGTGAAAAAGAAATAAGTTGATATCTTGAAACATCTAGCCTATACCAAACTTCTAAAAGCATTCCAAGTTATTATTTTCTTCTTCCAAATGTCTCAGCAATCAAACACATCAAATGAAACCACTTAACAATCGTAAACGCATGGTATTTGAAATATTGCAAAGCAAAAAACATAACAAACTAAAACAAAATCCGGAAGGATATGACTTTAACTTTCCGATAAATGTTTCAGTGAAAGTGTCCAATGTCCAGGTAGATCCATCTGGCCTCCCCTAAATAATGAATAAATAATATTAACAATAAAAACAGAAAAGAAAAGAAAATTCCAGATAATAATAGTTCATAGCCTTTGATAATAAGAGAATTACAGATAGTGAGTAGATTCTCACGTACACAAGCCTGAAGTTGCTCCTGACAAGAAAATATTTTCTCTTCAGTGCCCTAGAAAATGTCTACCAGTTCTCATTTTTTGTTCCCAATCAAGCACCAAAGCACTTGGGCCCAACTACACTCCCAATTGATGTTCATACTATATTGATTAATTTTTACTGTGAGACAAGAGGACTGCATTTATGCCGGATGCTAGTTGCTCATAACATAGAACTGTGCTCCAGAAGAAGTATTTCTCAATTCCTCCGCTTCTTCCTCTCTCTCAATACCATCAACCACTTCATACTCAGGTTTTCCATTTATTTCATGCAATTATTCTTCAACAAAATCATTCTATTGGAATATTTATTAAAGTATTAATGCAAGTAGAATGCCCTCATCACTAAATGATCCCAAATGATGAATATTCAAATTAACTGTATATTAGACATAACAAATATTCATGTTCAACATAGAATTTGTTACTGTAATCAAACTTGGGATGGAATGTGATCATTAATTAACCGCTTCACTTCTATTTTGGAAAGTGGCAAAGAAGGCAAAAGCTATAAATCTAATGCCAGTGACTAAATTTTCAGATGAACATCAAATCAAATGAGAAAGCCAATTACAATATCTTCTAATGAAAATGGTAGTATCATGAGCATTACATTTTTTGTAGATTTAACCTATAAAATTATTTTTGCATTAATTAATGCCGATCCCAGCATAAAATTTTAGTTTTACCAAAAGTTAGTCTAACCAAGTGTGAAATGCATTTGCAATGGAAAAGATACATTCATAATAATTAAATATGCTATAAATATAACATGTATAACTATGTCTACCCAGAGGGAAAGTTTGAACGAATCTCACTTCATCAAGAATCTTCTCAGCCAGATGCTCGATTCTCAATATTCTACCAACCACTGGTGCAAAATTCCTATGCCATTCAATGTCATGCATTTTGTCAAACTCAATTCCATCATCAATGAGTACTACAGCGATTCTTGCAGCCTTGAAGCATATTGAGCTTATGGATTACAATTCATTGCCCTTGCAGTATTTCTGAATGCCATCCAAGGATAACTTAGTTCCATACAGTCCAGCAATATCCCTTATACCTCTCCGAAAAACACAAACGAGTGCTGTCAGAATGAAAGCCCTACACATAAATTTTCATAACAATCCAGCAAACATGTTAAAGAATCTTCATCTGTAATTACCAAATGGGTTGAAACCAAATACATTCACAATGAGGTAGAGAAAGCTCGCCAAGGTTGATCCGTGGGTTTTTTAGATAAGCCTCAAAGATGAGGTAACTGACATCCTTTATCAGGGGCTCTTAAAAAAATATAATATGCTGTTACTATAAGTTTGCTTCGCTTCTTCAAGCTCCACCCCTTACTAACTAACTAATCTGACAAACTTAAACTCTCAAAACTTGACCCTCCATGCGATTACTGGAAATTCCTAGGAAAATAATAAATTAAATTTCAACTCTTAACTCATACAATTCATGTTCTTTTTGTTTCAACAAGCAAAAAAACTCCATGATTTAAAAAATAATAATAAAATAATTTCAAATTAGCCAAAACTTATTGGCTACTAGATTCTTGGCTATTTGGGAGCCAAAATCATGAGAAACCTAACATCATATTTTAATAAATTTCTTTTCCTGTATTTCCTTCTAACAAAGCAGAGCAATAATTTAAATTCAACCCTAGTTTCTTTACATCTACATTTTCCCAACAACCAAACAAAGACTGCATAAGTATAAAAATCCTCTCAAAAGACAGGACTCTCACCATAGAATGCCCCCGTGCAGTCTTGAGAAGAGAAAGTGGAAGTTGAAATAAAAACAACCAAATCATTAAAAAATGATACGACAGATCTCCAAAGTACACCAAAACAAACCACATCATTAAAAAATGATACCAGAGATCTCCAATGATACCACTTGCCTCTTATCTCATACCACACACACAGCCACACAGAGAGAGACAGAGTGCACAGAGATGGCTGCACAGTGGTGAGGTGGTGGTTGGAGTGAAACACAGATAAGAATATGAAAAATGAAAAAATATATATATTGGAAAAGAGCATTAAGCAATTTTGCTATGATCTGCTGCAAAAATTGTAGGCCTCCCAATAATCCGTGCATCCTGCTAGAGTGAATTAAGTCAGAGAACCTGTTGCCTTTGAAAATAAAGCACTATGGTAGTTGATCATCATTTAACAAAAGCATGTGTTTTCGAATGAAAATCTCATATCTAAAAGGATATTGTTTCGAATGAAAATTTTTAATGAGGAAAGACTATATATTTTCGAATGAGAAATTTCAAATCTCAAACAAATATTTTTGAATGAGAAATTTCAAATCGTAAACATATATTTTTGAATGAGAAATCTTAGATCTGAAACATGTGTTTTTGAATAAGAAATTCCAGATCTCAAACATATTTTTGAATGAGAAATCTCAGATCCGAAACATATGTTTTTGAATAAGAAATCTCAAATCTCAAACATATTTTTGAATGAGAAATCTCATATCTGAAACATATATTTTTGAATGAGAAATCTCAGATCTGAAATCTTAAACTTATATAAACCCTAGGTGAAGAATAGACGGAAGGAAAAGCTTGAGAAAGAGAGAGAGAGAGAGAGAGAGAGAGAGAGAGAGAGAGAGAGAGAGAGAATACGAAATTGAGAGATAGTGAATCACATTGCGGTGCTCACCTTAGTCAACGGTGGTGATGGCGGTGGCGGTGGAGCTTCGAAATTGGGAGAGAGAGAACTTCGAAATTGAAATCAATTTGAGATTGGATCTGAGATAAAACCGAGCTGAAGAAGGTTGAATCTTAATCTCTGAGACTGAAGGGTTTAGCGAGAGAGAGAGAGAGATCGAGTGAGTGAGAGATTTGAGGGATTGGTTTCTCTGAGACTGAGAAGGTTTCCCAGATTCAAAATGAGGGCCTGAAGAGAGAGACAGTGAGAACGGTTCTGATTCTTACAGAGTTAAGAGAGTGGGAGGAATAACATTGTAACACATGTGAAGGCATTTGAAAAACGACTTCTATCCCTTAAACGGTACCGTCTTAATTAAAATAAAAGGTGACGTTTATAAAACGTCGTTAAAGGTTAGAAACAGTGGTGTTTAAAAAAATGTTGCTAAATAAACGCCGTTAAATTCTGCATTTCCTGTAGTGTAAGGTTCTTTTTCACATATCTCCTTCTTGAGCTTCCCTTCTCCTTTTATATCGTTATTATTCTTCTTGATATTTTCTCTTTTTAACCTAGCCCTCCATCATTACTTTGTCAATGCCGATCTCCTTATCATATTCTTATTAAATGATTTTATTTAAAAGAAAGGTCAATTCGGATTCATCTGACCTAGTGAAGCCGAATTTCCCGATGCACTCGGCTCAACCTTATGGTTCATGTACCTTTTACTTGGAATATTCTCTCTATTGTTGTGCATACTCGGCAATTGGGTTTTATTTGGCCCATCTCAGATGGGCTTG